AGCGGCGCTTTTGGGTGGCGGGCGGGAGCTGGGAGCGGGAGCCGCGGTTTGCGGACTCTCCGACTGGCTTCTACCACTCGAGGTCGCCGTTCTGTCGCGCTCGCCTCTCTGCAGTGCTGAGATCCAGGGGTTCTGCAGATCGTGATTGTGCCGCTCTAGAGTTGACTGACTGCGCTTCGCCTTTCAGAAATAGGTTCTGAGAGAGCCTAAAACACGACCGAGAAGCTACAGAAATGCAGTCGTGCTCCAGGGATTATTCTTTCTAGAGGATATATATGTATTCGTTAAAGGGTCCAGGATGTGACTTATACACTTGTTCAGTGATGTGCTTGTACGTACTTGATGGGAAATGCTCAAGCTGCACCCTTATTATGGGTACCGTAGGTGCTTGTAAAAGTCTAGTGACCGTCCCACCTGTAGTCCCAGCACTTTGGGAGGCGGAGGCAAGAGGATTGCCTGAGTCCAGGGGCTCGAGACCAGCCTGGGCAACTTGGCGAGACCTCGTCGCTACAATACATCAAAAAATTAGACGGGTGTGGTGGCGCGCGCCTCTGTTTCCAGCTACTAGGAAGGCTGACGCGGAAGGATCGCCTGAGCCCAGCAGGTCGAGGCCGCGGTGGCCGTGAGTGTGCCAGTGCACTCCATTCTGGGCGACAGAGTGAGACTCCGAATCAAAAAAAAAAACAAAAAAAAAACAAAGGCCTGGTGACTGTTAAGGCAGATAACAAATGCCACATTACGGGCATTAGCGGTCCCACTATACGTAGGTGATTTTTAAAGGACACCTTTTTAACATGCAAAACTACTGCACTTCCTGACATGTTCACACTACTCATCAGTTAAGATATGGAGGAGAAAGTTCTTAATTCTCGAAATATTCTATATAAGGTGACAACCTGGATCAATTAAATTACATTCAGCATCTCATTATACTCTCAAAGGAAAACTTACCTTCTCATACTGATGGAGCTTACATTATTTTTCCTTACTTGCTAAATACATGATAGTCATTGATTATATTTGTATTTTGTTTTTCAGTGAAAAATATTCTCTGATCTGATTCCTAAGTTTGCCATGATGGTCAAAAGATTAAGGTATCAAATTCCTTTTCCTTTGATAGTATTATCATTTTACTATTTTATATTTCACCACCCTCCCCCCTCTCAAGGAAACCTGGAGTTTCAGAACAATGCAGAACAATGTGATCAGCATCAGTAAACATCTGGAAATAAATCGGCTAATATTCAGGTCTGTGTATATGACTCCAAAGTTCTATTATTTCTACGATTCCAGTATGTATTTTATGTATTTTGAGTATTTGCTCCATGTTGTTTGAAATTATTTATTGTGATGTAAAGTCTAACAAGTTTCAGCTTTGCATTTACAAGTGCTTTGGTGAAGTATACAGATAATTTATAAATTAAAGTTTAATTATTCTTGATTTGGTGTGATGGTTCACCATTATAATCTGAGCTCTTTGGGAGGCCAAGGTAGGAGAATTGCTTGAGCTCAGGAGTTGGAGACCAGTCTGGGCTACATACTGAGATCTCATCGCTACAAAAAATAAAAAAAAATTGACCAGGCATGGAGGCACTTGCCTGTAGTTCTAGTACTTTGAGAGGCCGAGGAAGGATGATTGATTGAGTCCAGGAGTTTGAGACTAGGCTAGGCAACATAGCAAGACTTTGTCTCTACAAAAAAATGAAAAAAAATTTAGCTGGGTGTGACTGAGCTTGTCTGTAGTTCCAGCAACTTGGAAGTTGAGGTGGAAGAATTGCCTGAGTCCCAGGATGTCAAGGTTGTGGTGAGCCATGCTACTGCATTCCAACCTGGGCAACAGAGTGAGACCCCAACTCCAAACAGAACAAAAAAGAGTTAACTTTCGGCCAGACGCAGTGGCTCCAGCCTGTAATCCCAGCACTTTGGGAGGCTGAGGGGAGAGGATTGCCTGAGTTCAGGGGTTCAAGACCAGCCTGGGCAACTTGGCGAGACCCCGTCTCTACAATAAATAAATAAATAAAAAAAATTAGCTCGGCATTGTGGTGCATGTCTGTAGTTTCAGCTTCTGGGAAGGCTGAGGCGGAAGGATCGCCTGAGGCCAGCAGGTTGAGGCTGTGGTGACTGTGAGCCTGCCACTGCACTCCAGCCTGGGCAACAGAATGAGACTGACTGAAAATAAAAGTTAGCTTTCACCTTTTTTGTCTTAACTAAAATATGGCTTCTCCTGAATGCATTGTTTCCCTCACAGAGGTGGGAGAACTTCATATTACTACCCATTACTAGGTTCCATACCATTCTCTCTATTCCTTTCTAAAAAAATGCTGAAAGAGCCGGGCTCGGTGGCTCAGCCTGTAATCCCGTGCCTTTGGGAGGCTGAGGTGAGTGGATTGCCTGAGTCCGCAGGTTCGAGACCTGCCCGGGCAACTTGGCGAGACCTCATCTCTACAATAAATCAAAAATTAGCTGGGTGTGGTAGCACGCGCCTATAGTTCCAGCTACTTGGAAGGCTGAGGCGGAAGGATCGCTGGGGCCCAGTAGGTCGAGGCTGCGGTGGCCGGGAGCGGCCACTGCACTCCAGTCTGGGTGACAAAGTGAGACTCCAACTCAAAAAAAAAAAAAAA